TTATATCTATGATCTAGCCTTTATATATCTATGATCTAGCCTTTGTATATCTATAATCTAGCCTTTGTATAACTATGATCTAGCTTTTATATACTATGATCTAGTCTTTATATATCTATGATCTAGTCTTTATATATATACTGTATTTCTATGATCTAGCCTTTATATCTATGATCTAGCCTTTATATATCTATGATCTAGCCTTTGTATATCTATAATCTAGCCTTTGTATAACTATGATCTAGCTTTTATATATCTATGATCTAGTCTTTATATATGTATGTTCTAGCCTTTATATATTTATGATCTAGTCTTTATATATCTATGATCTAGCCTTTATATATCTATGATCTAGTCTTTATATATATATTGTATATCTATGATCTAGCCTTTATATAGCTATGATCTAGCCTTTGTATAACTATGATCTAGCTTTTATATTTCTATGATCTAGTCTTTATCTATGATCTAGCCTTTATATATGTATGATCTAGCCTTTATATATCTATGATCTAGCCTTTGTATATCTATGATCTAGCCTTTGTATAACTATGATCTAGCTTTTATATATCTGTGATCTAGTATTTATATATCTAAGATCTAGCCTTTAAATATCTATGATCTAGCCTTTAAATACCTATGATCTAGCCTTTAAATATCTATGATCTAGCCTTTATRTATCTATGATCTAGCCTTTGTATATCTATGATCTAGTCTTTTTATGTCTATGATCTAACCTTTGTATACAGTATATCTATGACCCATTTCAGCTCTGGGAAAATGAAGCTCCGCCCATTTCTGCTCAGGGAAAAAGAAGCTCCGCCCATTTCAGCTCTGGAGTTTCAGGAGGTAAAAAAACCGAATCTGGTCTTTGTTGGGTTCTAAAACAACTCCAGATTCCATCGAGTCAATATTTATGAAACAAAAACAAATCTGCTTCCACAGGACCTGAGAGGTCCAGGATCAGACAGGACCTCGGAGGTCCAGGATTAGACAGGACCTGAGAGGTCCAGGATCAGACAGGACCTGAGAGGTCCAGGATCAGACAGGACCTCCGAGGTCCAGGATCAGACAGGACCTGAGAGGTCCAGGATCAGACAGGACCTGAGAGGTCCAGGATCAGACAGGACCTCGGAGGTCCAGGATCAGACAGGACCTGAGAGGTCCAGGATCAGTCAGGACCTCGGAGGTCCAGGATCAGACCGGACCTGAGAGGTCCAGGATCAGTCAGGACCTGAGAGGTCCAGGATCAGTCAGGACCTCGGAGGTCCAGGATCAGACCGGACCTGAGAGGTCCAGGATCAGTCAGGACCTCGGAGGTCCAGGATCAGACCGGACCTGAGAGGTCCAGGATCAGTCAGGACCTCGGAGGTCCAGGATCAGACAGGACCTGAGAGGTCCAGAATCAGACAGGACCTCGGAGGTCCAGGATCAGACAGGACCTGCAGCTACAGGTGTGTGTTAACACAGCTGAAATTTGGCGGGGTGCTAGCTTTGCCAAATTCTGAAGGCTAAATAAAAATCCAAGATGGCCGCCATAGCTAAAAGAAAGAGTTTACCATAACTCTGTCATACTGAGGTGAAATTTGGTACAGTGGTAGCTGTGAGTAAATCCTGAAATCATGTTGAAAATAATCCTGCACTGAGAGTCAGACCATACTATTCATCCGATCAGATCCACCCTGAAGGTCAGACCGTGCAATGAGCTCAGACCCTACAGGCCTGAGTCAGCAGGTCAAAGGTCAGGACAGAAGTAGAGCTGTTTACCCAGAATGCACTGCAGCAAACAGCTCCTCCCACAGCGGACCCTGAAGTCCTCTGTGCTGGTCCTGGTGGTTCCAGCCCTGGAGGTCCGGAGCAGTTCTGTGAGCTGGACCGGCAGCGAGGTGGACAGGACAGAGAGCAGCTGTGAGAACAACAGAGGGGCTGTGCTGCCAGGAACACAGACCCCTTTGTTCCCGACTGTGACTGGAGCCGCTCACTGGGACAACCGGGTCGGACGAGCCCATCAGGTCAAAGTTCTGGTGCTGCCTTCAGGAGCTCCCAAACGGGTCGGGCCTTTGGTGTTTCATCCTGGTCGTTACTGTCTGATGACCCGAACAGAACCGGAACAGGATGCCGATCGGTCCGAACGGTTTGGTTCTGAGGACCAGAGGTGGGCTGACGAGAACAGAACGGTTCTGTTTGTCCAGTCAGAACCGATCTGAGCTCAGTAAACAAACAGGAAGTGATGTCACAGCTGTTTGTTTTCGGGGAATTTCTGACAAGGACGCAGCAATCCACTTCCTGTTACTGATCTGACACACACACACACACACACACACACACACACACACACACACACACACACACACACACACACAC